CTTTGTGTTTTTAAGATTGGCATATTAAATATTAAGTTATATATTAATAGAAGTTAAATTAATATTATCATTATTAATATTTGTTTTGGATTAAGTCCATTCTATAACTACTCTCCCACTTAAGCACAAAACCTCTGAGTGCAATGTTTAAGTATGTCAGTTAGAATATGTCTTTAATCTCCTTTAGTATTTTAAAGGAAAGTCTGGGTATATGGAGGATTGGTTCCATAGGATTGAGAACAGTTACATTTTTGATTACAATAACACTCAATATTATAACATTACCTAAAACAGCTAATAATATAAAATCCTTATAGTAATATACAATAATACATTATTTCTGTAAATAATATTAAAATAAAATGACTCTATACAAAAAATTTACATCTTTAAGATTATATAGTTTCCGATTAATTATCAAGATATAATTAAATATTTTCTTAAATTTATAAATTTGTTCCTTAAATTTTCTTAAATAAAATAACGTTTATCACTTAAAAGATGAAATTTACATGACATCATTTTAAAATATATACAGGAAATATAATTTCATAAATTAATAATGTTTCTAATAACTTACAATTATTATAATTACAATTATTACTGATAAAGATATCATTATGTACAAACTCGTTACTAGAACTATTGTTTGTCATACCTACTCCATTACAATAGAATATGAATTGAAAATAAATGCTTTTAATTTATAATCTATGGATGTAGTATATATTAGTTAAATGTAACATAAAATCATTCAAGCAACTGAAATATCTTTTGTGAAGATTATAAATTTTTATAATTATTTATACATAAATAAATTATATTTAAATAAGTCATAATTTCTTTTCTTATTAACTTTTGGTAATATATCATTATTAACGTTCCTCCTTTTTTAGAATTTAAATTAATTTAATGTTTTTCATTATTATGTTTACTACCAATAATTTTATATCTTTAATATTAGTTATTTGAGTTCTACCAATGGGTAGTTTCTCTTCATGTTGTACATGTCATGTTACCAATGTCACATTTACTTATTGTATTTTCCATGTAATACAGTTGTAAATCTCAATAAAATAAAATTAAAAAAAAATATATTATTTATTTATTTTTACATTCACTTATTATTTTTTTTCGAATTGAATTTATATTTATAAATATTATTTATACTTATAACTAATTGGTATTTATTTATATATTTGCAATTTTTATTTATTATTACTCAAGATTATATTTATAATTTTACTATGAGACTAATTATATATATATTTATAAATTTTGTATTTATTGTAGTATAATTTAAAAGCCAAACAAGAGATTTTGCAATTGTCATTAACAAAATCTTGGACCACCGATTATTAAATTTAGCATTCATACGGCTTCAACATCCATAAGTAAATTTGATCTCTTTCACGAGGCCATCTACTAATATATTTTATTTGAACTTTTATTTTGGATTTTAACATCTTTGAAATATCTCCTGCGCCGACAATCTTTTTAATTTCGTTATTATGTTTTCTAAACTGTTTATATTTTAGAAATGCTTTCTGCCGAACTTTAATATATTTTTTATTCCTTTTTAGTTTAATAACCAAATAATAGTTTATTCCACTAATTTTTAATGGCACACTATTTTTAATGTCAACAATATTTCCAGTAATTGTGACAGACTCTTTAGGTATAACACTAATTTTTAGTTGAAAGGTTTGTTCTGAACATTTAAGATCTAACGTAGAACTAATTGAATTTAAACTATTTTTGTTTTTATTCGAATGTGTGTTGTCATTCAAAGGCAGAATACTAATATTTAAATTACTGTTAAAATTCTTGCCTATAATATTTTTCTTGGATTTATAAAATTGTTTAATTTTTTTATGATACAATACTTTTTTTATTTTTAGAAGGTGAAATATTTTTGAATGTATTAGCATTTTGGTTGTTCAGAGGTTCAGATATTTTTGTTTCTTTAATGTTAGAAAGGTATTTATGATTTCTATCTTCCCTATTAAAGTTAAATTTTTGGGATTCCGTTTCTAACATGGTTACATTTGTATTTAATTCATTATTGTTGATAGTTATGTTTCGGTCTTGATCAGGTGCTATATTAACAATTATTTTTTTAGAGCTTGTTTCCGCATTTATAGTATTTCGATAGGCAATTGTATTCTCTATGTATTTGTTAAAACATATTTTTCCTTTTTGGATTATTTGGGCCTTATCTTTTACCGTTTTTAGTGAAGGAAGTCTTAAATGCAGATTACCTATTTCATCATTATTAAGATTACTAAAATTATTTAATTGTTCAGAAGATTCTTTTTTTCTTAGGTTTTTGTTTGGATTAAATATTTTATTGTTAGTATTTTGTTGTACTTTAGATTGATTTTCGGTAGTTAAGTCTGTGATATTTAAATGATCTTTAGTATTAGTTTTTGGGAATTGATTAAACCTACTGTCGCTGAATTTATTTATTAAAAAGGTCATTAATTCTTCTAAGCTATCAAACATAAAAGCAGTTTTTATATATTGGGCCTTTCCGGTTAGTCTTGAAAGAACGATATTTGACAATCTTCTGTCATTTACTTCTTTTAAAAGGTTATTTTCCGCACAAGCAATATTTTGTACTTCCCTTATGGTATATATAAATTTAAATAGGTCATACGGATTACCATCATAATAAGGAAAATGGTCACAATGTAATTCTCTGCCTATTAGGAGCGTTGCCATATTAATAACAATTTTCAAATACTATATTTTCAATAAAATACTTCAATAGCCTGTTCTTAGGCAATTAATATTAATATAATTTAAAAATTCAATAATTCCATAGAATTCAAAATATAAAATTCAACATAAAAATAACAAAATAAATAAACATTACAAAGAAAGTTCTTACTGCTAACGTTACTGTGATGCTAACGTTTCTTCAGGATCTGCAGTGTCCAGAGAGACTCAGCAAGACATTTCTGTTGAGCAGTACCTTGGCTGGAGAAGTATACCTGATGATCTTCTGTAGTTGGGTCCTGGGTGTAGATCCACTCTAGAAGCATCTTCAAGGGTACAGACTGCAAAGTTGATCAAAATCTAGTTTGAAACTTGCAGTGCCTGTTGCGGGCGCCAGTTAACGAATCGGAGGCAGTGGAGACTGTATAAATAATGCTTTTATTCATAATGTTACAAATGGCATCTAAAATACAGAATAATATACTATGGATATATGAGTTGACTACATAAGTTCACTCCAGGTCTCCTGCAGTAAGATACACCAAGAGAATAAACTACATGAGTGGTATGACTCAAGAATGCAACTGCATGACTGATTTGGTCTTAAAAGGATGGGGGTTTTATGCTCAGGAATAGTAGGGGGGATAAATCAATTCTGGACCGTCTAGGAAGCATGTGAATGAAGTTTTAACTTAAATGTAGTGGTAGCAGAAGGATCACTCAGCACCATAAGCTGGTTTCTACCTATGAATTCGCCTAGCTTAGCCCCTCATCTATTCCTTCGATTGGATTCCCAATCCGTGTTACAAGAGTTGGTGTCTGAGCAGATGATCACGCTTCTAGTGCTAGCTGTGATTATCTCCAAGGCAGATATGATATGTCATCGTCGATTTCTTTACCATCTGGTATGTAAGCCGATACCAGCGTGAAGGCAACCGAACTGTTGGATGTACTTCCAACACCCGATTCCTGCATAAGGCTTTTCTAGCCACCAATGAGAAAAGTGGACGAACATCATCTATAACTAGCGGTATAGCTACTAGTTTTTGCGTTATTTTTCCCCACAAAAATCTTGCCAGTTCCTCCGAGCCCCATGCTTGTGGTACTCCCTTAATCTCCAATTTGGGTTTTTTTTTCAAAGCCATCTTCGCCTGTAGACCTTAATCTCGCAGTTCTTGCTAGTCAATAACTTTGGTTGGGTCAGAATTGTCTTCCATTCGAACCAAAACAGACCCTGCCTTGCTCATGCGGATAATAGCCGCTTTTACACCAATTTCAGAGGGTGACGATAGCCCACTAATGATCTCAATTGGGCTCTTAGTTAGCCGTCCTACTGATTGTTATGTTTGTCTGCTTAGGACTAATGGTGGGCTTAGATTGCAGAGACTTAACAATATCTGCCATGGTTCTAGGCTTACTTTGTTTTACACCGGTTATTGTTTGAACCATCAGCTGCTTCTGGTTCTCTTGTGGCTTTTTGTTGGTTGCCTTCGTTTTCATTTTTTATTTTTTATTGCGAAATACCTTGAAGGGCTCAGAGGCATTCAAGGCTTCAGCTGAGTCTGTTTTTTTACTAACAACTGACTGTGGCTCACTGGAGGTTTCTGAAGTCAGTTAGAAACCCCCTGAATCACTTTTGATCCAGCGGTCTCAACTACGATTCAACTTATGAAATCACTCTCTGAGATGACATTGTTTCTGTTATAACCTGTTTCACAAGGGCCGATATGTCTTCAGATTTCTTCGTCTCTTCCAATGTTTGTATCATCCTAACTAACAAGGTTCTTTAATTCATTTTTGATGTGATTCCGAAAATAGACATTTATATTCTCATTGGGTTTACACATGAAACTCTGTAGGTTCTCCTGAATCCGCTTTGCTTCTGGAAGTTCCCGTAATTTTGTGCATAAAAGACTGCAGTATTTAGTTTTAAGAACAAAGAGTCCACCACCAAGCACCACAGTATTGGAGAAAGCACACCTCTTCTCTGAGGACAACCTCTACCAGGTTTAATCCACATCAATATTAGGATCCATTATTATGTTGTCAGGGGTTCTTATTATGACAAAAACTGTTGAAATTCGTAGTTTTAAAAAAGTTCCATAACATTTTCAATCCCGGCTAGAAACTCATCAAAAAATGCATTATAAACTTTTTTAATTGAAACTTGGTTTATTGATTTGTAGGTGATAAAATTGATCACTTGTAGAAAATTTTTTTTATGTTCCATGAGGTATCATTTTCTGGTCATGTTTAATATTTTATTTATTTTTTGGCAGGTGGGCTTATACATGTTAAAGAAGAGGAAGAGATGTTTGTTCCAGATGAAGGTGAGAAAATGAAAAAAAAAAATCATATATATATATGTATATATATATATAGCATTTCCAAGTCAATTTCAACCTTTTCCAAATCAAATTCAACCTTTTCCAAGTCAAATTAAACCTTTTCCATTTCAAATTCAACCTTTTCCATTTCAAATTCAACTTTCGAATTTTTGTCAATTTTCGATTTTTTTCGAAATGAAGGCCACTTACTATATTATCGAAGGCATAGCTTTTGAAAAATACAAAAAAAATTTGGATAACGCGGTTGCATATCCATTTATTTTAACATTTTAGATTTTTTCAGTGTGATATTTCTATGTCATTTCCAAATCAAATTCAACCTTTTCCGAATCAAATTCAACCTTTTCCAGATCAAATTAAACTTTTTCCAAGTCAAATTCAACCATTTCCATTTCAAATTAAACCTTTTCCAATTCAAATTCAACCGTTTTCATTTCAAATTAATGTTTTAATTTTTTGTAAATCTTATATTTTTTTTTTAAATAATGGCCATCCCCTCCCCCCCTCCAATATGAAAGTCTATTATTATGCTCTCCTAAGTAGAATTTACACTTACGGATATCGATTTATTGTACCTATTTGGATTTATTAGGGACTAGTATTATGCTGTCCTGTACATAGCTTTGAAAATATCCCCCATTTTAAGATTAAGTGACTACGTTTCGAATCATTTAAGTTTTTTTGACTTATTCGATATAAGGGTGTATTTTTATGTTTCCCGATCACTAAATTTTGTAAATGACATCCATGTTATGTTTACGCCACTGTGTTTTGACTTATTTAAGTTTTTAGAATTTATCCAATATAAAGGTCTACTTTTATGTTTCTGGAGCCGTAGATTTTGAAAACGACCTCCATTTTAAGATTAGGCCACCGCGTTTCGACTTATTTGAGTTTTTCGGATTTTTTTCATATGAGGATGTATTCTTATGTTTCCGGAGCCATAGATTTTGAAAACGACCTCCATTTTAAGATTAGGCCACCGCGTTTCGACTTATTTGAGTTTTTCGGATTTTTTTCATATGAGGGTGTATTCTTATGTTTCTGGAGCCGTAGATTTTGAAAACGACCTCCATTTTAAGATTATTCCACCGCGTTTCGATTTCTTTGAGTTTTTCGGATTTTTTTCATATGAGGATGTATTCTTATGTTTCCGGAGCCGTAGATTTTGAAAATGACCTCCATTTTAAGATTAGGCCACCGCATTTCGATTTCTTTAAGTGTTTCGAATTTTTATCATAAAAGAGTGTGTTCTTATGTTTCCGGAGTCGTAGATTTTGAAAATGACCTCTATTTTAAGATTACGCCACTGCGTTTCGGCTTATTCAAGTTTTTCGAATTTATCCAATTTAAAGGTCTACTTTTATGATGCCGGAGCCTTAGTTTTTAAAACGACTTTCATTTTAAGATTAGGCCACTGTGTTTCGGTTTTTTTAAGTGTTTTTTATTTTTCCTTCGAATAAAAAGCAAAATACGAAGGATTAATTTATTTTTCAATAAGTAAATAAAAATATCTAATCAAAATAAATAAAATATGTATTGTCTCATTTTTAATTTAATTTTAGTTATCTTTTTTAATGTTGTGGTCTCCTGTCACAAAATTATAAGATTTCGAACAATTAGCTGAAAAATCTGAATACGGAAGGTTAAATTTATTACCAGCTGCTTTTCGGCTTTTTAGTTTGTATTCTGTGGTTAATTTAACTTTAGCTTCATAATATTTATTTATTTATTCATACTCGAAAACATATTGATGAAACTTTGTATTGAAAAAATCCAAAATGAAGCCTAATTATTCGAGATGCAGCGGCTTAATCATAAAATGGAGCTTAAATATTAGATAAATTTAAATATTAAAGATTAGAAAAATTTCAATACGTCTCGGATAACATATAAGTAGATCCTTATACCGAAAAAGTAAAAAAAAAAACTTTTATAATCCAAAACACAGTGGCATAAACTTGAAATTGGGTCATTTACAAAATGGGGGAAATCTACTGCTCCAGAAACATAAAATTAGACCTTTATACTTGTTAAATTCTAAAAACTTAAATAAGTTGAAACGCAGTGGCGTAATCATAAAATAGAGGTCATTTTCAGAATCTACGGTTCCGAAAACATAAAAGTAGACCTTTAAATTGGATAAATTCGAAAAACTTAAATAAGTCAAAATGCAATGGCGTAATCATGAAATGGAGGTTATTTTCAAAATCTACGGCTCAAGAAACATAAAAGTAGACCTTAATATTGGATAAATTCGAAAAACTTAAATAAGTCAAAACGCAGCGGCGTAATCATAAAATGGAGGTCATTTTCAAAATCTACAGCTCCGGAAACATAAAAATACACCCTTACATCGAATAAATCAAAAAAACTTAAATAAGTCGAAACGCAGTGGCGTAATCTTAAAATGGAGGTCATTTTCAAAATC